GGGAATGGGGATTTTGCAGTATCTTCCCCTGGAGTGGGATGAGAATGGGGATTTTGCAGTATCCTTTCCCCAGAGTGGGGTGGGAATGGAGATTTTGCAGTATCCTTCCCCTGCCACACTCACCAAGCCATACCCACCAAGCCACATCACACCCACCAAGCCACAGAACCGGTAGTAAAAAATTTGGATTTCACCACTGTTTCAGGCAATATAATAAATTGTGTATTTGCTGTCTGAAATGCCACCAAGTTTCCCCGCCCCACTTCTTCTTATGAAACAGCCCATGATTCCAGGTTTGTCATAAGAACCCTGTCGCTGAGCAGTACTTAACATAACAATTTCATTATTTAAGATGATATGAAGGTTAAGTGAGTAACCCAGTTTGCTGAATCTTTGATATATCATCTTTATAAGCATTACCAGAGATGGGATTCACTTAGCTTTCCTCCCGGTTCCCAAATGTGAGTGCACGTGCCTCGTCTGTGCATGCACCTGCTCAGTGCTTGCGCATTACATCTGGGTGGGTGGGCGGAGCCTCTTGCAGTTGCCACTACTGGTTTGCCTGAACCGGAGAGAACCGGATGAATCCTACCTCTGGTCCAGGGGTGGGTTCTACTTAGCTTTACTACCGGTTTGCAACAGGAGCGCGCAAGCTTCTGCGCATACGCAGATCATCCATGATGACGTCAGGGCAGGTGGGCAGAGCCTCCTGCCAGTTTAACTACCGTTTCTATAGAACCGGACCGAACCAGGAACAACCCACCACTGCTCTGGTCATTACTTACAATTCTGTATCTAATGCATATATTGTTCAAATACTGTACATGTATATTTCTAGTACACTTCTATACCTATGTTTTTTTAAATTTATTTACTGTTAAAATGATATATCATGCCTTTTTTTCTTTTATCACAATATTGATCCCTTGCTTGTTGAGTTCTAGACCCTTCAGAAACAGCCAAGGGACCTTGAAAGGAAGTTGTATGCTTTTGTTGGAATGCAAATGCAGAAAGTCCTCAACTTATGAATATTTGTTTAATGATGACTCAAACTTGCAATGGCCTTGGCGAATGTGATTTGTAACCTGCTCTCAAAGTTATGACTGTCACAGACACACACACCAAGGTCACATGATTGCAATTCAGCTACTTGACAACTGGCACCACATTTAGGACAGTGGCAGCATCTTGCAGTCATGTAATTATAATTTGCTACTTTTCCAGCTAACAAACAAAGTCAATTGGAGAAACCAAGTGATTCACTTAATGACCGTATGATTTGCTTAACAACCATGGTAAAAAATAACCAGTCCCACCTTCATGGATCGGTACATGAACCAGAATGCTACTATACGTAAGACTTGGTTCCTGCAATGAACTATTCTTCCATTCAAGCAATCCTTTGCTGCAGCTCCCTTTCAGATATTGCAAAAAGGTGGTGGGGATAGTGGAATACAAGGCTGTTGGGCAAAGCCTATTTCTATAGTATCACATCCACAGACAATGTGGTTAGCTACTGTCTTGCAAACCAAATCCATTGTAAATAGGGCAATATTGGAGGAAGGAGTCTTTTCCCTAACTGGGACATCCCATCGTAGCCTTCCTTTTTCCTGTTTCTCTGATTTTTTGTCACAGTGTTAGCCTTCTGGAAGTAAACCACAGAGAGCCAGAAGGGAGGAAGTCTGCTCCCCAGTTGCAGTCATTGGATTTGCCTAAATGCTCTACTTGTGAGAAGAAGAAGTAAGGTTTCCTGATCATCTCTCCCTTCTTTTACTTCTGTCTTGGAAAACGTTTTCGTGCGAAACTTCTATGAAACTTCCTCTGAAAGTTGTTTTCTCTCTCTCTCTCTCTCTCTCTCTGTCTCTCTCTCTCTCTCTCTATCTATCTATCTATCTATCTATCTATCTAACTATCTAACTATCTATCTAAATAAATTTCCATTCTCCTTTTGTGGAAGTGAGGTAGCAAAACATAGAAGGATTTGGTTCCTGTTCACATAATCTTTCCTAAAAAGTAGTTGGACAACAGGGAAAATATGAAACAAGTATTATTCCCAAATGCAAAGCACATGTCATTTGACCCTTAAATTCTCTTTCCCCTCTTCCTCCAAGCAAATCTAACTTTGTTAAGCCTGCCTTAAGAAAATGGGAGCACATGTTTCATTCACATCACAAACTGGATACTTGGATGTATCAAGAGATTTGGAAATCATAGGATTGTACTTTTCAATTATATATTTTTCTTTTCTAACCTGAGTTTCATTTTCCCATTCATACAGTATACTAAGCTGTATGAATTTGAATTAAAATTTGTATCTGATAGAAAGAAGCATCTTTTTCATAAGTTAAAAATCTATTTCTCCATCTACATGGAAAATGTACATTTTCAGATGTGTTATCTGAAGTTCTGATCTCTCCCCTTGTATTCTCAACATCAAGCAGTCTTTTCTGTACTGTTGTGGAGTAAAATTCTATTATATCTCCTGCCTGAAAATACGTTGCAAACCCTGGCCTGAGAATCTTCCTCTCTCAGAACTTCTGCATAGTGTCTTTAGCTTGCTTGTTACCGTCGATTTGCTCACATGCAGTTTTTCACCCTTGCATCCCGAGTCAGTCCAAGTATTTTGCATTTTGAATTGGTTAGACATTGGATTTTACTTTGAATACATGGAATAGATCTAAATAGACCTAAGAAGTTTGATCTTGCTTTTTATAACAAACATCTTGGTGATCTATATATTGCTTTCTCTAACTATCTAGGGAATACATGTTTCTAAAAACCACAAGCCATTACATTTGAGAATTCAGGTAGTTTTTGACTCACAATCATTCATTCAGCAACCAAGGTTACAGTGGCAGTGAACTAATTGACTTATGACCCAGGGCCAATGTTACAGCCACAGCCACAGTTAAATGATTAAGATTTGGGCACTTGGCAGCCCACATTCATTTAGGACTGCAGAGTCATTTCAATCCCCCCCACACACCTGCCTACATCCTCCAATCCTTGCCCTTTTGGCCCTATGCTGCCCCAATTAACTTGTTCCCACTGCTGAAGAGGTGTACCTGGCCTGGCAGGTGGGCTGGGCTGAGATTAGGCTTTGTGCTGCAATACCCCCCCAAAAAAGCAAATAGGCTTTTTCGCACTGCAACTCTGGATGTGATTATCTCCCCCCCCCCCCCCCCCCCCCCCCCCCCCACTGCAAACGCCCTTTTTGGCACTGCAGTTCTGGAGTTGCTTTTTTGAGGGGAGGGGAATGCAAAGCCCAGCCACAGCCTGGCCCAGCTGCCAGGCTGCACAAGCCTCATTCAAAGTAGGAGCAAAAAGATCAGCTGGGGTGGCAGTGTCTCAGAGGGCAGGATGGCAAGGGTGACTCGGCTGGGATGGGGTGACTGTAGCTTGTCGGGGTATGGCAAGCAGCCTCAAAGCCATGTTGTTCCAGCTCTGCTTGACACAAATATAAATGTTTATAGAAAAGCCAACATTTCTAGAGGTCAAAGATAAAGTAAAAATCTTTTTATTTGACTGTAGCTTACAAAAATATGTCAAATATAAATGCATTTTTAAAACAACAAATAGATTTTTTACAAAATACTTCAAAAACTGCATTAGACAGACAAACTCAGAAAAGGACTTTTAAAAAGTGGGGAGGGATATAAAGGGAAAAAGTGCAAGAAGAGGGAAGAAACAAAGTACATGGATTCCCAGAAGGAACTTGCTTAGGCTATAGTACAAACTTCACCCCTTCCAAATGACCCATTTCAGAAGCGGGTCGATCCTGAATTTCACTTTCTGCAATTACAGGAGTGTTTTTCCCCCTTGCACAAAAGATTCAATCCAGCCTTTGGGGTGGAGGATGGCAGTGGATGGGAAGGAGACACATTATTTTTGTCTGCATGGCTCAGTGGCTAAGACGCTGAGCTTGTTGATCAAAAGGTCGACAGTTCAGCGATTCAAATCCTTAGTGCCGCATAACAGAGTGAGTTCCCATTACTTGTCCCAGCTTCTGCCAACCTAGGAGTTCGGAAGCACGTAAAAAATGCAAGTAGAAAAATAGGGACCACCTTTGGTGGGAAGGTAAGAGGGTTCCGTGCGCCTTTGACGTTTAGTCATGCCGGCCACATGGCCACAGAGATGTCTTCGGACAGCGCTGGCTCTTTGGCTTAGAAACGGAAATGAGCACCACCCCCTAGAGTCGGGAACGACTAGCACATATGTGAAAGAGGAATGTTTACCTTTACCTTTAAGTTCACTGAAAGTTATTTCCAAGAAGGAACACAATAGCCTAAACTAGCAAGAAATGTTGTCTGTACTCTAATGCTTTATATTTCTGGATGTATAATATAAATGAATAAGCATTAAGAGGTATTAAAATTCTTTGTAACTCAATTCCCCAAGCTGGGTCTTAGGGCACAGTAACCTCAATGTGGTGGTAAGATTATCAAAGGTTCTGTTTGGCCACAACTTTTCTTCTCAAGACTTGTGAAGTATGTTTCTCTTCTACCAAACCTGTCCTTGTCACCCTTGGATACCAAATAGTCCAGGCCAAAAAGTAGAAAACTTTTTTTTTTTTTTGGGTAGTTTCTGAAAACTAGCAAAGTCCTATCTGTATTGCAGCTCAGCCCTTTGCTTCTCAGCTGAGAGTATTTGAAGTCTCACAACACCGAGACGAAAGCAAAGAAAATTCTGTACCAGAGACCTCATGCCACCAGAGTAATATTTTATGCTATGTTTTCGTTGCTTTTAGTTGTTTAAACTGAAAATTGCCTTGGCATTTTATATACACACTGCACACATACCCCATAATAAATATTATAAAAATCATTCTTGGTATCTTCTTATGTTATAAAATCCCTGTAGCTCTCATTAACTCTTTGTTATTTCCAAAGATATCTAAATACATGAGTTTTTAAAAAAAATTCTGGAGTTAGGATATTGTACCAAAATAATAAATAATAGTTGCTAAGTACTAGTCTGGCCAATTGGGAGTTCATACAAACCTCCTATGGATTTCTGAATTAGATTCCTTTCCTCTGTGAGAGTTGCCATGGTTCCTTGTTTTCTCTCTGTGTTTTTGGGGCCAGGCACAAAAAAGTATATTTGGTCAGTACAAGATCTCACAATTGTTTATTAGATATCCTCCTTAAAAAATTCCATGTCAAGTCAAATCTCACAGCCCATACAGTTACATTCCAAATAATCCCATTTTCTTCCCAAGACAGGAAAATAATAGCAGAAATGTTGATCTTTAAGATATTAACCTATTCCTGATGGAGCTAAATACCTGATACACTTAAATAGCCTGTGATATATTTCAGAAGGAATTTTCTTAGGAAAACTTGGAATGGAGGACCATAAGGCCTGGAGAGTAGAAATTGGCACACTTGAATTAAGGGAACCTTGGTGTTCCCAGAGCTCGGTTGTTGTCTTGTAGACATTTCATTACCCAACTAGGTAACATCATCAGCGCCAGTAAGGAATGGGGTTTGATGAAGTTACCTAATTTGGGTAATGTAACATCTGCAAGAAAACAAACAAGCTCAGGGAGCATCAAGGACCCCTTATTTCAACCCTGAGCTACAAATATTCTCCTTTATCAATAACACTTGAATTAATATACAAAAGTGCCAGTTGTCCTAAATAATTTATTTACGCACATGCATAGCTCTCCTCCGACTTCATTCTGGGATCAAAGTGCTTCTAGGTAAATAAGTGTTTTTTATCAGGGCAACCTGGTCTACCCAAATATGGGACGGAGTATATGGCTTCCGCTTTCGCCTTTCAGCCCCAATCCAGGAGCCTTCACAGGCAGTCGCATTTCGCGACAAACTTTTTTTTTGTGTGTGTTAAATTTATATTTACCAACAAAGAAATAAAAGGAGAGTAGTATAGATCTATTTCACGCTATTTAGCTCTCATCAGCTAGCCATACCCTTTCTGGGATTCGAACCCGGGCTGCTTCTAAGTAAGTACCTAGTATTGCAGCAATGTATTTACTGAGAGCAACTGAGGATTTACAAAACTACTGGGAGCTTTTCCAAGAAGAGATTCCAAGATCTCATTTGGCCAAAAGAGTGAAAAATCAGAGTGAGAAATGAAAAACCGTGACTGATGTTTGAGAGTCTCCAGGCTTGCAAGCGGGAATTTCATCGGGTAAAAAGTTACGTTAAGTTGCATCTGAAGTTCTCCCAAAGCTTTCTGGGAAGAAGAAGAAAGCTGCAGATCATAGATTTCTGTATTTTTGGAAATGTAAAATCCAGCTGTTAAAATCCTTCTTGATCCTAGTCCTCTGACTACATTATGGAGTAAATTTTTCTCCAGGACCTGCTGTTTCACGCATCTAATCCTCTGTAGAAAAAAGTGCCAAAGCTGCTCTTCTCTTTGGTCAAATGCTGCAATGGACCAGATTCCGTTTAGCTACAACTGCCGGCATTGTTCTGCTGGATATAAGCAGCTATTTCGTTCTTTAGAAAGGCTTCCATTAAGGTTGGGATTTAATTTTGATAAAGATACATTAGAAAAATAGGCGAGAGCGGTAATTGCTTCTTACATGGAAATTGGAATTCAAGAAGTATGAGAGCGAAGGAGACTTGCTGTCTTTTTAGCTTTCTCAGCAGGCGAGTTGGAACAAGGATTCACTGTTCTTTTCAGTAAACTATTTTCTTTGCAAACTAGAAATCTATAAGGAAAAGAGGCAGAACTGTTAAAAATACCATCTAACAGCATCTGTTATCCTCTCTAACAGCATGGTAAAGAAAATCCAAAAATCTCGGTAAAGAAAAAGCAGCTCTCTTCCTCACACTCACATTGCATCGTTAACCCAATTTGCAAAATAGATTTGTTTTTTTGTTTTTAGCTGATAATTTGACTGGAACACAGCAAGGTATATGTAGTAAAATCCTAACCTCCTGCAATAAAGGTTTGGACAGAAGGCTAAATGCAACTGAATTGGGACAGCTAGAGCTAACGCTCAATAAACTTATATAGAGAACCCAGATAACCAAGAAAAAGCTAACATGCTGTAATTAAATGATTCCCAGGAGAGGGCATGATATGGATTTCACTCATTGTTAGAGATGAAGATTTTTTTTTTTCTAGAATAATAAAGGTACGGTTTGTACTGCTGTGTGTTGTGTTATAGGTTTGTACAGTCTGAAGACTGTTCCACTTTGAAAATTTAATTGGTACTTTTTAAACTTGTTAAGTGAATATTGGAAAATAGCAGGGTGGGGGGGCCACTGGGCTGCTTCAGTTTGCTCATCTGTAAGAGTGAAATGCTGGAATGTATAGCTCTGGAAAAGCAATATCAGTTATAAGCATTCCTCGTTTAGTGACTGGTCACAAATATGTCTCTAATAAAGAAATCAATTTCTGACCACTGCCCAAATGCGATCCTTGGGGCTCTCTCAGTTTGATTATTTTTTGCAGACGTTTCATTACCCAACTCGGTAACATCATCAGTAGTAGAAAGGAGTGGATTTGATCTCTTTATATACAAGTAGATAAAGCGGATAAAGAGGACAAACACTGAGGATGTTACCTAGTTTGGTAATGAAATATCTGCAAGCAAACAACCAAGGTCAATGAGCACCAAGGACCTTTCATTTCAACACTGAGCTACAGATATGCTCTTCTGTTGGTACTGCAGCTAAATTTCTGTGCCCGACAACAACACATAACAGAGTGAGAGTAAAGCTCACTTTATCTGAATGAGATGACAGCAACCGCTGATGTTTGCATTTCTCACTATCTGTCGCAGATTCATATATCGATCATTTTACTTAGCAACCATTTTGCTTCTGATTAAAGGAATGGACTGCAAACACTAAACAAGGAGAGAGTGCACTTGAGAGCTCCGGCTGGATGTTTCAGTCAGTAAACATACCACTTTTAGAAATACATCTGATTCCTAACTCCACATTGCTATACTTTGACTTCTAGTACTATATAAAACAGCATAAAACATCACAGTACTGACAGCTGAGAATGGGAGAGAGGAGAGGAGAGGAGAGGAGAGGAGAGGAGGAGAGTTTTAGAAGTTGGTTACTTCAGTCTATCAGAAATGACAGATTAGGAAGGAAGGAAAAGCAGGAGTCTCTGTATCTGTGTATTGTTCCCAAATAAGCACAAAGAAGGGATCCTTTGTATGAGTTGTATGAGAACCTAAACCACACACAGGATGAGCAGTCAGTTGGATATCGTGACATAAAAATGGAAGTTCAGAGCAACAGTTTGAATTTTACAGAGTGGATTTTCAACTCCCATTGCACCCTTTGCACCCATGTTTGTGAAATGAATTTTCTTCTGCATCCATTTCTGAGCAATGGGTTAATGCCTTGGAATGAAGGAACAGGGCTTCAAAACTCTGTACATTATGAGTATAAAGCAAGAATGCGTATAATATCCTGAGAAAGAATGTGTAGTCCCATAATGCCCAGGGAAAGGCTCTAGAGTAGGGGTCACCAACCTTTCGGACCTCAAGGACCACTAAATTCATAATTTTAAATCCCGCAGACCACTAATATGATCTGCCTAATGACCGGCTGGGTGGGCGTGGCTAGATGGTCATGTGACTGGGTGGGTGTGGCCAAGTCGATGTCACTCACATCAAGGGGCGCCTCGCTAGCATCTACTGGCCCCTCCCCTCCCAGCCACTCCTCGCCTGCCCGCCCAGGCTCCTTAGGGCCCCAACAGGAAGCAGTTATTGGAGCTAAGCAGCATGAGAAAGAGTTGGCAAAACAGCTGGCTCAGTTCAGATTGGATCTGACTGAGAAGGAGGCTCAGCAGAAGCACCTCACTGAGGTCTACGAGTAGGCTTTCCAAGCAGAGGAAAGACCTGCAGGAGTGCAAGGCCAGGTATCGGCGCCTGGAGGCTTAGTGGGCTGAGATGGTCAACCAGTTCCAGGCCATGATACAGTCCCACTGGAACAAGGCCCTCCAGCTCTTCGCCACCAGTGGCGCTTCCCTCCAGCCTTCGTCCAAAGTCCCGCACCAGGAGGCTGAAGCAGACCCCAAGTCAGAATTTCTGTCCCCCTCTGACCCGCACAAAAAATCTGAAGGGGGAGACTCTCTGCAGCAACACAAACATTCATTGCGCATATCCAGCCCAGGGGCTGTAGTTTGAGGACCCCTGATTTAATGCAATATAAAAAATGCAAATAATTTTTCTGTGGACCAACAGAGTTTTCTCATGGATCACCAGTGGTCCACAGACCACTGGTTGGTGACCGCTGCTCTAGAGTACCTCACAAACATACTACTGGATGGTATTTTTTTAATATGACAGAAGGCAAGAATTCAAATAGGAAGTGAAAATTTATATTAGCTGTATTAGCAATAGTACTTAGACTTACTATATATATCACTTCATAGTGGTTTACAACACTCTCTGGGCAGTTTACAATGTTATCATATTGCCCCCCAAAATCTGTGTCCTCATTTTACTGATTTTGGAAGGATGGAAGTCTGAATCAACCTTAAGCCTGCCAGAATGGGCAGAATCAGCCTGCAATACTGCATTCTAATCACCGTGCCACCAGGGTTTAGTTTTTGCTATGCCCCTGCCTACTTCTTTGTTCTGGTCTCTTCTACTTTTTGGGTGTGGCCTTTGACACAAGAGCCAATAGCTAAGGCCAGGCCATGGCTAGAAAAAGCTGTTTATCTGTGCTCTAAGAGCCAAGTCTAAGGCACATAACTCACTGAAGCTCAGAGAATGACAGTCCTTATAGGTAAACCAAAAGTCTCTAATTCTTGTTTTAGAAAACATAAATAAGTGGTGATTCTTTCTGCTCTTTCATTTTTCTTTTCCCTCCTTTTCATTTCCTTCATCTAGTTCTTTGGAGAAAGAGAAAGGAGATACGGAGATGAGAGAGTCAGATTTGAGAGGAAGATAAATTAACTAGAAATGAATGCCCCCCCCAACAAAATTAGATGGGTGGCACGGCATCACATAATATCTTATCCAGGGTGAAAAAAAGCATCATTTAATCAATTTAATCATAAGCTTATTAATTTTAATATCTTGCTTTGTTATCCTTAACATTTTTATAGTTAGGGGATTAAGAAA